ATTATTTTTATACATAATATAAAAATATAATATACTTGTTAGTGATTAATTTATGACTTTATGTAGATATAAATTGCTATTATTATCAAAAGAATATCATTATTAGAATTTTTGTGATTATGTGAATATTATCATTTTAAAATCACAATAAATATAAAATACTCTATCAAATCAAGATATGTAAGATAAAGTTATATTCTTTTATAATTTTGAAAAAATTATGAATCATTGTCTTTTTATCACAATGTAAAAACAAATTCATAAGAACGATTGATTCAAAATAAAAAAAATATATATTAAATTAAATTTTAATCTCTAGTCATTTATTCGTTTCCTTTATTTCTGAGAATAATTTATCAAATTTTTAAGACAATAACTTGATCTTAGATATTTGTATCAGAAGAACTTTTCTTAAAGCTTATTAACTTGAATAAGTTTTATAGCTTGTTTCACAAATCTTTGATATTACATCGTTATTAAAAAGTTTTCAACAACAAACTATAGTTTATATATTTATTTATTTGCTTCAAAATTAAACAAAGTCTCATAATCAGATTAATATATATATATATATATATATATGATAATAAGATAATTGTCTTTGAAGAAACATGTAAATATATATCATGTATAATACATAAATATTAACATTGATTATCGTTATATATAATGGAAATTTGCCATGTACATTGCACTTGGTGATGTCAAAACCGACTATGATCATTTCATTATATTGTATTGTTGAATATTATATATTTTGTGATATGATCAAGAAGATTTTTAAATTTATTAATAAGAAAAAATAAAAAATATCTATTCCATAAAAAGAAATAATGCCTATTTTCATAAAACAAAATTCAATCCCATCAAAGGGCAAATTTTTTTGGTTGATTTTCTAGTCTTTGAAGTATTTGATTCAAGATAATTATCATAAATTTTACAATTAAAATACTAAAATTTAGATTTTATATTTGAATTTTGATGTAGATTTTCAACGATATTGTGATTGTTGTTGTTAAATTATTTTGTAACGCAAAGATTATATTATCATTATTACTTTGAAATAATTTCAAAGTAATTTGATTCATTTTTCATTGTAATTAATGATTTGTATTTTCAAGTGCGCTTTAAAGCTAAGATAAATTTGTATGTAACTGCTATTGTATGAACTTTTATTTAATTTTGTGTTTGTTTCTGCATGCATGTTTGTTATTCATCAATCAACTAAGCATAATAAGCTATGTTTGCTATAATTTCAAAAAATAATGAATAATCATTCAAACTTAAATGTGGATTTGAATGTTCAATTTAATGCACATTCTTCACTATTAACTTACATGATACATACATGGTTTTTGTCTTGTACACATTTATTTAAGTACGAAAAACATTTTCGTATAATACATTGTTGTTTTTTTTTAAATCAAACTTTAATTGTCACATGATACTCTTGTAAATTTTAGCTTTGGCTTTTTTTTTCTATCATCAAAATTAAATAATCTACAGTTTTTTTAATATTATATATTTCAATTAAAATTTTAAACTTAAATTTTCATATATGACATCAGTCAACGATTGATATAAAAAATTTGATTCAATAAAATTTTATTTGTTCAGTTGTTGAAGCTAATTTTCATATTCATTAAAATATTCTAAATAAAAAAGTTTATGTCATTATCTTTATGAATATTATTATATAGCAACAAATTAACCAAATTTGTTTGATGTTATTGAAGCTAATTTGAATTTATATGAGTAAATGATAAAATTTTGTTTCTTAAGTCATATTGTGTGAATTATAATTTTCATAATTTAAAATTATAAATTTTTTTGAACAAAAATCCAACATAGAGATTTCTTCAAACTAAACTTATTAAAAATATACTCATAGTCAATACATAGTACAATAAATTTTCTAAAATAATATACTTGTGATTTTCATTAAAATTATGCAAAATAGCACAATGTTTTCTAAAATAATTCTAATAATAACTTTATTCAATGCATTATCTTCATTGAGTTTTATTCAATTTTAATCAAAATTACACCTGTGATCAAATGACATCTGGTATCAATGTGTTTCAATATGAAATACTTCATTTGATTTGCAACAAGATGTAACATATTTTGATTATCATGATGAATATTTCCAAAATTTTATTTCAATCCCATTAAGTCTATTCAATTATGAATAAGTCTATTTGTTTTTTTATTATCATTACACATTTAGCTTGTAAAAATTTAGTTTACTTGAAAAAATTCAAAATAATATAATTATGGTGGTGATGATGATAAGGAGAACGACAGTCAAGAAGTCACTCCAGTGACAGCCATGGAAGCTAGCAACATGCTTGAGTCGCTGGAGACTTTTTTGCTGCAGCTGGAAGATGAAAACACCGGATTGCTAAAGATGTCCTTCATTTGTTTAAAATCAAAGATTGCAAATATAATATTACAATTTTTATATATTGTTGCTGGAGATTGTTCTAGTGTTTATCATTGAAGGTGAAAATTTTAGGTGTCAACGTCTTGCTCATACTACTAGCGTATTACTTGCTTTTACTTTTTTTTCTTGGAGCTGATAGTTATCATGTCCATCATATTTGAAAATATCATATCTAGCTTTCATGCACTTCATGACATCCATATGCATCATTAGAATATTTGAGATGGTACATCTGTGAGCATAAATTTTCTTTTTCAAATCCTTTAAAAAAAATAATTTATTGTATTTCTTGACACTTTTATATGACTGATCATTGTGTAGTTGAGAAGTTTTGATCCAATTGTAAATATACATTGGTTTGCAAGTGCTGATAGTTGTTCATATCATAATCCTAAACAAGCTTGGTCTTTCATCTTAAGTTATGCCCTAGATTTGCTTAAACTGCCATCACTGATGCATTTTTATTTTGATCTATCATTGCCAAACTTTTTATCTTGTAAGAATATAAAGCTAGTGCGTTGTTTACTTTGATATATTGTTGTTGACATTTGAATCAAGTCACAAAACGAAGCACCTCAACACTGGCGTAGTTGTTGCATTTGCTATTATAAAATCCTTTGCGCTTCCAACTCTCCACTTTTTTACTCTTCATGACTTAACAAATCAAACAAATATGCAATCCATAGTTTAGAAGTAAGTAAAAATAAAAAAAACAAAGAGCAAAGCTTGCAATGTTGAACTCATTTGTATATTTATCCCTTCCTTCACTGGAGACTTTTTAAAGAATCCCGCATTCTCAAACTCTGATCCAGCCTTGCTTTTATTTTCCTCGTTATTCTCATCGTTTTGCAAACCCACTTGCAAAAACTAACTAGCAAATTGCGAGAGACTGTACTGATATCTCTTACTCATATTAGACGGACTGGACACACAACTTTGATTTGTTGCATGGCTCTGTTCTGTTCACACGCCTCGTCTTAAATATGCGGTTAATCTAAATTTTTGTATATTTTCTTTTCTCGGTCATTAAATGTGTAAAGCTTCAAAGTCTGATATTGTCATTGAATTCGGGAAGCTAGATTAGCATGACATAAAAGGCAAAACAATCCTACGCTTTGTTACTAATTGTGAGGTCATTAATACGAGGAATAGTCAAACACATTTCAACTGAAAAACTCACACGCATATGTATAGGCTAACATGACAGGTTTGAAGATGCATAAGCAATTTTTTGTCAAGAAGGTAAAAAAAGGTTTTGTTTTGTTTTCTATCTTCTTCAGAAAAAACCCTTACAGAAAAAAATGAGAGATAATCTTTGATTGATTGTGAATTGCTGAATAATTGTTTGATTTTTGATAACTAGCGTGTTATACTTTATGAGGTTAGACTGTGGGACTACGACCAAGATGTTGGATGATTTGATCACAATACAGTAGACATAATTGATTCACCACATATGTCTAATCACCGTGGTTCACCACTGTGAGTTAAGTCCTTAAAACATCTCAAGCTTTATTGTGAAACCCTACAAAATTGGCAGCTAAAGTTTTCGTGAGATTCTTGATATAGCGATAGTTTAACCATCTTCATGGATCGGGGTTAAGCCGACTTGATACCCAGATACCTGACTCAAATTCTAACTTAATTGAGTTAGCAACCTTCCTCCATGGACTTTATGGTTTATCAAAGATTTAAAATCTATCTCAATGAAAATCAACCCACATCAACATTATTATTTTTGTTCTTAATGGTAAAACACTTCTTCCATGCTTCCCACGCTCCATGTGTACTCCCCCTAACTTTTGTGTAAGATACTAGCTTAGCGTATGTATCGGCGCTATTTCAGGATTATTTCTGCTCCACAGTGTGTTCTCATAAAGTATTTAACTAGGTGAGACGACTGCTCAAACAGTTAAAAATTTTATGCAGGGCCCGATCATTGTACTCACTAATATTATATTCATCGACTTCAATTCCCTCCTTGAAGTATGATAAATGCGAAGTATTTGTTTGAGGCCTGGTGGAAAATGAAGTAAAGATGAAATTTGATAAGTCTGCTAGCAGCGAAATATTTTTATATACGAATGTGGCATAGGAGTGCAACTATGTTGCATATAGGCTTTATATGCAACATCATCATCATTGGCACAAGCCTAGAACTCGAGACACCAGCCCTCTCCCAACCTTGTGATATACTAATTGAAATGATCGAAGATTGATAAAAAACATGTTTCCAATGTTGGTGCGTTAGTAGTTCACATGTCCGAAGACAATAGCAAACATGATCATACTTAACGACAACTGTGCATTATTCATGAAGTGGGTGGATCCTAAACTGCTGTGTTACATATGCTGAGTAAATAATCATGAACAATATACGTAGTGATTGTACGATGTGTTCTGTACGACGGACGGGTCCTTCTCTGTGTACTACTCACTCTTGTGCAACGAGGAGGCGGCACGCAGTCTCTCGCAAGGGTACGTGATCTCCAGACGAGCACCCTGAAATGCCACGTACAGTCGAGTTGGATCGATCAGCGATCGGCCAATCTGACGTGTATCTCTCTGCAACGAACGTTATCATTTCCAGACAGACGTCGTGGGCTCTGACGGCGGACGGGCAACATTGGAGTGACCAGTTCGGTGCGGTGTGGTCGAATTTCGTTATTGTTAGTTAATCACAACTCAGTGTCGAGGGAAGTAAGCAAGCCGGTTCGAGCAGATTCAACCACTCCTCTCGAATCGACGATTAGAGAAAGATCTTTGTATTGCTGGTCAATTTCTGATTGCGGACCCACCTCACCTGGCGCCTCGCCTCGTACAGGACATGCCCGTTTTAGAGAGAGCTCGCTCGCACTCGGTTAGTACTCCTCGAGGCGAAATCTCAGTGGACCATTGGTTGTGATCATTGGTTTGGCAGTGCAAATATTACCGTAAAATAGCAGATTTGAACAGAGCAGAGCAGAGGAAGAGCTGCACAGAGCTGCTATATATAGAGGAAGTCGTCAAATGGGGATATGTTGGTGTTACCACTTGTAAGGCCTTGTGCTTCATTGCATGCAACATTACAGATCCATCCATCCATCGACCCACTGACTGTGGACTCTGAAGGGGCAAGGGAATCATTCTTCCGGCTCGGGCTACTGGAGGAGCAACGAGTTGGGGAGATCCGTGAAATGAACATTTTCGCTACTTTGTTGCAGGAATGTTCTCTTCCACAAGACGTGGCACATGTTCGAGTCCGGAGACTCGGATTTGGATCACATTTGATTAGTCCCCGTTCTGCACAGGTGACACTGGCCAGTCCGATTCTGCTTCGAGTCCTGCTGTTGCTTGATTGCTTCATGTGTACACCTGAGGACCTGGCTGTTACTGTTCCGATCATGAGGGAAGCCTGTTGTCTCCTATAACAACTTCTGTGAGTTACATAATGTTTTCCATATAGAGGAGTCCAAGAAACCGTTGTGGAGCATTAGCTTCTGATGATCATGTCATGAGACGGGCTTTGTCTTCACTGACTTCGGTGAGGACATCTCTGAAACTTATCTGTTGGGCATCGGATCTCCTTTATCCACTTCCTGTTATCTGCATAATCATCGACGTTCACTGGTTTAAAAGACTACAACAGTTTGGTCTCTACAAGTTTGGGGAGAAAGGAGTAGGTCCAAAGCAAAACAACTCCGAAGTAAGTTTGGTAAGTAACTGGTAAGCTGTAGGTGTACGACCTGCAAGTGATGTGTCAACCCTCTGAAAGATCGCAAAACTCTGTACGTACTTCTGCCAGTATAAATTAAAAGGTTTCGTGGAGACAGACTTACGTGCATTACTTCTTCACAAAGAAAGAGGTGTCAAATTCTGCTCAAATGACCGCGAAAGATTGTACGTCTGTGTTTGAACTACAAGTGTCAAGGATATTATTGATTAAGGTGAATAACATCATCAATTAACAACCTCCATTAATTCGCGCCGTAGTTGTCTCCCAAAAGATGATCCACCGTCTAGATTGGACTTTTCGAGCTATGGTGAGCTTGACATGAAAAGCAACGTACGCTTCATCAAGCCAAGTCCGTTCATGGACAGACGAGATGTTCTTTAAATTATTGAAGTCACCACTACATTCTCATGTGACTTCACAGGAGCCAGAACATGTGTATGTTAATCTATGCTGGTCCAAGAGCAGATACGGGATAGATATTCCTGTGAGGGAAAATATCCCCAAAGAGTTTTGCTTTGTGTGTGTCTGTCTTCCTCTCTAACTTTTGACACTTGTAGATTGAGTGCTAGCAGATATAAATAATGAATATAATCTTATTTAAATCAATTTTTCTTCACTAGCAATTTCAAGAGCTACCTTGCCTATTCCATGGTATGACTTCAGGTTCAGTTCACTATTCCATTGCGGGAGGGTGTTCGGAGCAGATTTCACATTTCACAAGGACGTCGTTCCTGATGCTCCAAGGAGATTTTAGTTGAAAGGTTTCCATCTCGACTTTCTGATTAGTTATTAATAAACTTAATGAGCAATTTCTAAGCGCTTGGCAGGACGGAAGCTCAGCTTCCCGGAAGATTCGTCAGTTTACAGCTGCTGCAGCTGCTAGAGTACCTTGAGGCGAGAATCCTTAATTCTTTGACAGACGTCTTAAACTTTGTAGTAGTTGCGAGAATACCAGTCATCAAAGTCCTGAACTCCCACACCGGTAGAGTCTGGTCATGGAGGATGCACCACATTCGCACATTTCGACAGACAAGGGCACGCCCAGAGCAAAATCTGCCCTGGGTTTACCCTCGAACTGAGATTACCCGGGTGAAGTTGATGGTTGCCATCTATAGATATTTGCTTGACCTGATGCTTATCATAGTGCAGTAAAACTAATTGCAGCTTAGTGGTGGACCTGTTCTTCTCCTTGGGGTAGCCTCGGCCGATGGGTCGGACTGGAGATTTCATCAGGAGTTGGCTGTAACTTGACGACGAGATGCAACAATGTGGAGTGAATTTTATATCGTTGGAAGCTGTAGTTCACAACTTATAATCTGTAGGTTGCAGTATGCATGATCTCCAGAAGCAGAAGCCGAGAGATGCAAATCCTCTTAACTGGAGGCGTGCAGATTCACGTCATTTTCCTACACACTATGAGTTTCCCGGAGGTGAACTCTAATGCTAGCCGCGTAAACTTCTTTGCAATCCTTCTAATCCAAGGATTACAATTCTATCTAGCAAGAATATATCATAACTATCATTTTCACAAACTTGTAAAATTTCCTTCATTTTAGAATGATCAATCGATATATTCTCGAACAACTCGCACATTCATATTTTCTGAGTTTGATCATCTGTTTCGATACATGTCATAGGAAACTTCTTTCGATGGAGTATTTTATTGTTGCAAGTTGTAGAGATTTCTTTGATTTATTTACAGTTCAGGATTAAATTTCAACCAACCTCATCCCAGTATTAATATGTGTTTTTTCTCAGCGAGATCGTAACTTCATCATGTCAGTTATATTTCCTTATGACCTTTGGCTTCAAGCAAGTACAGCATCATGAGTAGGAGGATCCTTTGAAGGTCACAGCTTTTGCACCTAACTGTTTGAAGAAACGAGAAACAAGTTATATGACAGTAACCAATATTGTGAAAAGGGAAGGACTCAGCTCCTCCATAGAAAAGCCCAAACGGTGTGTTTAAAACCGCTTCAATGTTAAATAACCCTGCTTCAATTAGTCTCAATAGCAAAGAATTGTATTACGCGTAGGTTATTGTATTAAATCACATATCGACGAATAATGCCCCTCACAAGGTTTACAAATACCCTTGTTGACATAATCATACCTTTATGATATTAGTATCATAAAGGTATGATAAGGTTATCATAAAGTTCATTAGGTATAGGAGAGACATCAATTTCCTGCGCACTTCACACATGCAAGGGACACTGAGAATGACATCGAAATTGTCAAGCAGTCTAGGCTGTTGGAAATGCTTGAAATGTTATTGGGAAAACTGCAACGGTAAATTCTATGGAAAAGTAGGAGACGGAGTTGACAGTGATCACTTCCAGAAAAGGTTGGAAGAGCGGAGTTCCTGAACTTTCAGAACTCTATAATCGATGTAAATACCAACTCACCCTCATTTTGCTTCTACGTCAATTCGTCCAGGTCTCGAAACAGTTCCCAAGAAACCAGTTCAACTCACGAGCACATTATTGTATGGATCCCAAATGCCACATCAATATACGACTCGACTCACTGGAGTATTCTCTGCATTGGCAATTGGACAGCCACCCTGCATAAATATCTGTAACCTTTGTAGCAGATAGGCCGTATGGAAACTTGGTCTGAAGACCACGTTCGTCACCAATGCGAGTGAGAGGATTCGCCTGACGTTAATGAAGCTGGACCTGACTTAATGAGAGTGTAAAGCTAACATAACTTTCACTTGTTGGTGGTCTGGACAGATTAATCAGCAGTTCACAACCTTGCATCACACTTATATATGGTTATAAATCCAAAGTGAATCCTGCTGTGAGCGAGGGAGGGAGGGATGCTCGAAGAAGGTGTCAGAAATATGTCAATGGCATCTATTGACTGGAGAATATAGTCTGCAGGCGTATCCGTAGTCGTTGCACTGGACAGTGGACTCATTCCTCTTGCCCTGCTTGGTTTCAAGAATACCGGACACCGACAATGAGACTTGAAACTTGTTGCAACTGCCACCGAGAGCTGCTGTAATGGAAGACCCACGGCACGTCGTCAACTGCTGTGTGAAGACTTTGTTGTACAGTACTCAATTCAACAGTTATTTATTATTCGAAGATGTGGAAATCGATGAGCTCGTCCCTGACTCCCATAAAATTAAGAAGAGAAGCACTAACTTCTCGCGAAACAGATGAATCAGCTTCGTCTGAATCGACTGCAGTTAAGTAGTTACCCTGGCTCTTCTGTAAGTGGTCGATGGTGTCTGAACTTTGTCAAACAGTGACTCCAGTCAACCGCGAAGAATTTCTAGTCAAATGCTGGTCTTTCATTCATTTCGAAATCCACCTCAAGTTTCCCACGAGCTAGCTGTGGACAGTTAAACGAGGTGCCCAAGTTTCAATCGAGATTCGAAGCCTAACATTTTATATTATACACATACTTTCCTCTTCTCTTCTCACGCAAATAAGTCTCCCGATGAAACTCTTAAATAAGAAGCTCGATTTATTTGGATGATGACGTTTGGTAGATTGATTATCCTCGTATCGAGGACTCTGGAGCATCTACTTTCATCAGCCGTACGTTTTGCTCTCCCGAGGAGTTAGAAGTTTACATGCTCAGAGTTTATTGCATTTCCGTCTCTAGGAACATCCTGACTCCAGCAGGCCTGGAATACGTTCATCAATAAGTATTGAGAAAATGAAATGGTTATTTGTTTCCATCTCAGTTTTATATATTAATATTGATTAAAAGAGAATCAAGATGACATCTTACGAGATATAGAATCATGATGTTCATTGACATGTTAATAAACAGTTATTTTTCCTATTTTGAAACTCAAAATATTTTTTTAAACATAAATAAAATCATGAATAATGTGACATAAAAATCTTTGTTTTCAAAAAAGCTATTACCATTTTGCAAAAGAGTTTAGATTTCTCACGTTTTTTTGAACTTTACATCTTATCACAACAGACAATAGCCAAACCGTCTATCAAAATCAAATTAATTTACCATACTTTAAATCTTAAAAAATTATCAACATTTAGAAAAACTATGAATTTTTTTTAAAGAATTTTCATTGACTTTCATAAAATTTAAATAAATTATTTTAATTATTAAATTAAATAAATGAAAAAATTTTGTTACTGAATCATAGTTAAAAACTGAATCATTAAACAGGAATAAGTTTACTTAAGAGTAATTAAAATCTGAATATTTTTTTTGTCAATGAAAATAAGAAAAGTGTGATATCAAACATATCAAATTGTTAAAATGGTAAATACATTTTTTCAAGGATATAATTACTACGTGAAAAATATCATACCTACTGTATTGTGAGAAAAAGAAAACTTATCAGTGTTTAAAAGTTATGCTTCAAAAACTGAAAAGCAATATATATTGAGGATTGTCACAATGAAAGGTCTGTTCAATAATAGAATCACATGGAACAGATACTAAATGGACTTTTTGTTCCAATAAAGCAAAACTCTAGATTTACAATTTGAACCTATGGAGTTTTGATAAATTTTCAGATTTGATACCAACAAACACATGATTGTATTGGATGCTTAGATCATGGATCTAAAGTTGTTGAACTTTTTTGTTCGAGATGAAATTAGTTTTGTGTCGGTATGAGATAAATTTTTTGTTTGAAATAAGAACGATCGTTCAAATTCCAACTTTTTTCTAAGATTTAGTTTGAATATATATATATATCTATATATATATCTATCTATCTATCTTTACATAACTGAATAGGAAATTTCTTAGGCTATAGTAGCTTTTCTCTCTTGCTCACTTTTAACACTACTATATCTTGCTTCAAACTTCACGGAGATATGTAAATCTTATTACAACTTTATTTGAAATCATAGCAATGTTGGAAAGATCAAAGACAGTCTGAAGTGTTAAAAAATACCTTCATTTTGATTTTGCAACATATTTTTTCTCCCTCCAATCATTTTTGAAAGCTCTATTTGTTTGAAAGTGGAGTCTTATTCTTTTTGGCCCATACGATATCATGAAAACCATATCTTATAACAAATTTTTTATGAAATAATCTGTTCAGTTTTATGCAATCTCTTATGGAGAACTTAATATAGTAAGATTAAAAATAAATGTTTGTAATCAAGAAATGGAATAACATACATTCTTCCGGAGAATAGTGATGTGATTTAAATAAACTGATATGTTTCATAATTGCATTTGGGTTATGAACGTGTAATTTATACTTCGCATGTACAACATGTTTATGTGAAATTTGAGGTTGATTCAATTTTCTTCTGTTTTTCGATATCACGTTTTCTAAAACATATAGAATGATTGTTGCATGTTTGTGAGACTCTCATAAATAAGATTCTCATAGAAGCGGTGATAAGGAAATTTGATGATTCTGTATATGACGTAAAAAGTTTATCATCTACTTCTGCAATTCATTACAAGATTGTGCAAACTTCATGTATTCAGATTGATTTTTTTTTAAGAAACTGTCTTCGATTGAAAATATTTGACCTTATTATATATTTCATATGTAAAGAAGAAATGTTATTTGGAACAAATTTTTTCAACATTATGTAGCAAGCGCGTCACCAAGATGTAGTTTTATCAACTTCATGTGAATACTATTCTTGTATATTGTGAACATGATTACCTACTTGCAGGAATCTTTACGTTCTTACGTCATATTATTGTTAGTCATAGAACTGGATCTTATAGGCTTGGCATTGAAAAAGTGCCTTGGATTAATATCGATAAGAGTGAAACATATTTGTAGATTATGTGACGATGGGTACATGAGAATGAAGATCATGTATTTGTCACTTGTTTTAGGTACGAAGACATTAGGCTTGCTCATAATATAGATGTGGAATTTCTATTCTTTATTACAGTTAGTTACTTTTGATTTAGGTTGTTATATTAGAGATATTATTAATTACCGTTCTAGTGCTCTTGGCATTACCTAGGAATTGGCCTTTGGGGTCTTTTCATTTGTTTGTGGTTTTCGATTGTATTGTATTATTCAGCCTTTTGACCCTTTGGGTACCCGGGCTTAGTCTATTACCATTTACTATTTTTCAAGCTATTCAGATTTTTTACTATCTCCGTAAAAGAAACATGATAAAGAGTAACATAGAATTTCAATCAAGGACTATATTTCATAAATGAAGCTATATGTAAGAGTAAAATCTTTGTATTTTAGCTTGTTGATTATTCTTAACATATTTTTTATCCTTGGAGTTTGAGATTGTAGATAGACTCATCTTTTACATAAACGAAAGTAAATTGAGTGAAAGTCAACTTTTTTTCAATCTTATTGCAAGAATGGAACGTTTTGTCTCCATATGGTTATTGATTTTTTGTAAAGATTAATTGGAGTTCGAAAATATGATATATCTTAATGTATAGATTATTTCACCTTGCACTACACTCTTTTAAGTGCATCTGATCACCTTGTAATGTTGCAATTGTGAGCTATATCTATACACTTTGACACGACTACTTAGACTACAAGATCTCTGAAAGGTTTAGCGATCTAATTTCGTGAGTACCATTGTTCATAACGAGAAGCCAAACAGCAGTGGAATATTCCTTGACACAGCATATACTAGCACATGCAACAATTTGATAAAACTACTACGTGTATCATCCGCGTGTTATCAATTTTGGAGAATAGGCGAATAAGAACCACTGGCGGTGACACATACCAAGCCGAACCTTGCTCCTTAACATAGTTCCGTGTATTAATGTGACAACCAGGTTCTTTTGGTTCTCGTTGTCGCATTCCTGCCAGATTACTTAAGAGCACATGAGCTGACTGTTGTCTGATGTTGCATCATTGTATTATGGACCATGCTTTGCTATTGTCGTCCTTGCGAAATTCCATACGAGGTCAACTTGGTTGATCTCGTGCTAAAATTGGCTCCCCATCATACGTACTCAGAAGTCAACTTGTGTGTTCAAGCTCTCGTGGACAAGGTCGGCCTCTGGACTCCGGAGTTTTATGTGTCGCTCATAAGAAGCAGGTGGTAGTTTGCTAGCCATGTCGTAGATGAAACAAGCATCTACAAAGTTGGACACACAATTGTGCGTGACGTGTTTAATCGGATGATCATTCTTCCGATCACGAGCAGTTTTGTCGATGGAAGTCAGTCACCTCCGAAGTCAAACTTTATTATGATTGCTGAAAGAAGAGTGCAGGACGGTGTGTAACGCACTGTAGTCCCTGACGAGCATCTGGATTTAGACAGAACAGAACAGAGGTCTTATCCCAATGGAATTTCACTGACTCAACTACTTAATCATCCATCCTTTTCATCGGCAGTGTCCGATCCCAGTCGAGAGTTCGTGTTCTTGTCCTCGACGATGAAGCCGCAAGGAGATGCATTTGCATTTATGCATGTCCATGTGAAGCGAAGGCAGGGCCCGGAGTTCATCAGCGCAAACAATCGAATAAAAGTTGACACGGGATGGTGAGTGCATCACATCGCATTATTCGCATCGCACCTACCAAAAGAATGCATGCATCATGATGGGACCTCATCTCATCTCATCTCATCTCATCTCATGACATGTCATGATCAGATGCCCCGATATTTACACTAGTGAATGACGATACGCTCAACCATCCACAAGCTCCCATTGAGACCCCATCACAAGATCATGAAGGGAAGGAAGGAAGGAAAGAAGGAAGGAAGGAAGACATGCAACCGCCAACGTAAGTAACTGCCTCAACTTGTAGGTTCCTTTGTGGCTTGTCTTTGATTCCCCTCCCCAACCACGGAATAGGATGTTCTGCCTACACCTTCCAACTAGTTGATGATAAAGGCTTCTTGACCCCCAACTCGACTCTTCTTCATCACATCCTCCCTCCCTCCAGTGGTTTGTCTTCATGGACCCACACAATAAGCGACCACGAGACCCAAGAGAGCCAGTATCTGACTTATGGGCAACTGCCAAAACTTCCACTATTCCCTAACTTTGCATGTTTGTCCATCCCTCGGAACGTCTGCGTTCATTCATTCATTCATTCCCTCCCTGTCTCGGAGTCTCTCCCTAATCTCCTCAGAGCTTCATGCGTTCGGTGGATGAATGGTTTTTTTTAGCCAACTACTTGACAAAGGTCAGACAACCCGTGCTCAAGCCTGTGTCCATCAGAAGAAGACAATGCGAAGAAAGTATCCTGCACAGCCCAGGGGAGAGCGAAAAGATGGAGATCGGCTGGTTCCGTACCGGGACAATGGCCAAACGGGATCTGTTTCACAAACCACTTCACTGTGGAGTCGATCTGGAACTCGTTTCCCTCCCTCTATCCTGTAGCTGAACCCAGGGCGAGATATGTCAAAGGGGGCGCTCTTATTTGCATTGCCCTCCTACTGGCCCATATTTCAATCTGGCTGGCTGGCTGGCAGGCTGGCCTACTGCAGTAGCTGAAGGCCTACTGCGGTTTCCGCCTTCGGGTCACAATGATTCGAGTGTCGCTTTTACTGGGCTGGCAATGCCGCGAGAATGGCTCCAGGCTCCTTTTGGGTTCGTCGGTGCTCGCGTTGCCATCCTCGCTCGTCCGTGTTAAATATGGACCTGGAGCTGGATGGTCGAAAGTGGTCGGCTTTAAGCTGGTAGACAGAGAGAGTTGTACTGCGCCAGCAGCACCACCACATGGCAGATTTTCTACCAGTCTATCACATCGCTGCTCGAAGCTCAAACTCATTTCCCTCCGTAACAGTGTTTTTTCCCTATTGGCCCACAGGATAGGACTTGGTCGGCTCATTGGAATGCAAGCGAGGGAGGCAGAGTGAGTAATCAATCTGCCAAAGCGCCCCACTGTTCACCCAAACATAATCATCCTTTTCTGCTCCCTCTGCTTTTTCTTCCCTCCACAATGTAGGGAAGCTATCTGCGCCCGAGGAGTGTGTGAATTTCCTCCATAATGCCAAAGCCGGCACTGTGTACTCGAATTCACACTTCTTTCCCTCCAGATCCGCGCAGCGCAAGGTAAACTCCCGCTCGAATTTCCGAAGCTCGTGTCTCCTCCGCCTCGACTTGCCCTTCTCCCTTCCCTCGGCTTTGTTTACCATACGTCCGCGTGGACGATGCATCTGTGTTCCAGCCTGACTGATGGTATCTGAGGCTGTGATGTGGTGCTCGGTAGGTTTGGGATTCGAGCTCCAGAAACGACAGCATCTTCTCTATTACTGGGCAGTGACTGGCATCGTTTATGGAGATCGGATAATTCCACCCGTCTTGGTTTCCAAATACGGTATAGATTTACGTCTGGAGTCGGATTTTAGCAATGAAAGGACCCGGTTTGGAAGTCCACGGGAAGCCAGGTCCGAGCTCTGGTTCGTTAGGAAGGAAATTCACTAAAAACTAGGAACTCCTTGGGACCGTCAGAGCCGGAAGGAAGGGAGCAGGAGAGAAGTCCGTGGGTCAGACTCTGCATGCATGTCTGGCCGACAGATAGCACCGTGGATCTGGAACGAGAGCAGCAAAGGATTTGAAATTGGGAAGGTGGCGGACGATGGATGCTGATGCCAGTAGGCACGGGCTGGGAGTGGGAGGGGGAGGGGGAGGGAGCGAGGGAGAGCGATACAGTGGGGCTAACAGTGGAGGAAAATCTTTGGGGAAGGGCTGGGGCTCAGATTTAGTGCGCATCTTGCTCCTCGGCGCGACCATTCGCTAGCTTCACTGGCACTGCTGCCAAGGGTACTGCTACCACGTCGCTCCTTCTTCTTCTACCTTGGGTCCCGTCCCGTCCCGTCCCGTCCCTTCCCTTTGACTCTGCGCCGGATCGGTCGTCCTCTCCTCCAGCCTCTACCCTCTCCGGGTGCCGGGCTAGGGGGGGGGGGGGGGGGGCTCTCGGCTGATGGCTTTGGGAGGAGATCTATGATCTATCTCGTCCGATAGAGCGGGCGTCTGCTGGCTCGCCTTGCTGCACGACCTCGTGCTGACCTCAGTGTGGACACCGGCAGTCGTGCACACGTGATAATGCGCACGCTGTGACTATCGCTGCGCATTGAGCCACAGTGGGCTGAACTCGCTCCGCCCTGCATCTCCCTTCTCCACGCTCCGTCCTCGCGCAGCTCCGCCCGGGCAAAGGCCCAGCGCCACTCTCGCCTTTATTGGTGAGCTTTAGCTCTCGCCCTGAGCTCCGGTTTGTCGCTGTTTGTCTCGGACAGGCAGCGGCCTCGCCCTGGCCTCTCGAGTCTCCCTCTCTCCCTTTCCCCCCTCCCTCCCGTCCAACAATGTCGCTCCTGTCCTCCCCCCCCACCTCTTCCTCCTCCTCCTCCTCCTTCTCCTCCTCATCGCCCCGTCCGTGGTCGACGAACCTCACCAATTCATCGATCTTTCCACTCTGACTTCTCCACATTCTGCTCTACGTCGCGTTCTGGGTCCAATTCGTCGACACTAATCCATCACTGGAAAAAAACATAAGGACTCCCATTTTCGTTCCTTTCCCTTTCTCCCTCCTCTGCTCTCGAGTTCTCTTCTTTCTCTTCCTGTTGGTGCATCTCATGGTATCGACTCGAAACCTCAGCAGTGCGCGCGCATCGAGCAGAGGAGCAGGAGCGGGCTCTGGACGGATGAGCTGCTGCGAGCACCTCTTCTCTCCCAGCAGCAGCAGCAGCAGCGACACCAGCAACGCGAGTCCGATGGAGAATCCGATCATGGAAGCCAACAGGACCGTCTCGACGAGAGAGACGTGCTGCTCGCGTCGCGCTGCTGGCGTGGTTTGAACCAATTTGCCCCTGTGTTCGCGTGATCCGCCACGACGGCGAAGGATACTGAACCAGAGGGGGTGGGCTGGGGGGCCTCGGGAGCAGCCAAGAGCGGGATGTTGCTCGAGACCGCCCTGGCAGACTTCTCATGCGATGAATCGCGCGGTCTCGCCCCGCCCGGGACGATTCCGTTCTCATGGGAAGCAATGCTGGGCAAACCCCGGTCCCCACCCCAGAGCGAATGCAGTGGAGACCTGTCCACTGCGTCGTCCCCCGATGTGACGATTCAGCCAAAGCACCACCTTCACCATCGTCATCGTCATGATCATCAGCAGCACGACCTCTACAACAGCGGTGGCAGCAGCAGCAGCAGGCATTACTCGGTTGAGCCCCTGGCCAAAACCCTGCACAGACAGTACTCGGGCGAGCTCTTGCCTCGGTCGCGAAAAAGCCCTCAATCTCGACAGTCGTCGCCCGCTGCGGACTCCAGGCCTCCTCCTTCCCACGGGGGCAGGACGTTCGGGAAATCCTCGTCTTCGAATCAGCTGCTGGATCTGCTCGGCCATCACCGAGGCTCAGCCAGCACCAGCACCAGCACGCATTCGCACTCGACGACTCAGAGCGAGTACCATCGGCGGACTCTGAGCTCGGCGGCGGACGAGAACTCGAGGAGGCACGGGAACCACATGGCGTACGCGGGGGACGCAGGCATTGCGCCTCTCGAATGGGAGTCGCAGCCCGGCGGCAGGCCGCAGTCCTCCTCGTCCTCGTCCTCGTCGGGAGACGCGTACCGCGCCGGCAGCAGGAATGGTGGCGCCATAAGCATGCAGCCGCTGCAGCTGCCTCCGTCGCGGCTGATGCTGATCAAAGAATCCGATCAAGCCGAATGCTCGAATTCGTCCAGCCCCGGCTCGCATCGCTCGCGAAGCGGGCCGTTCTCTCCCGAGGGCGGCGGCGGCGGCGGCAGCAGCAGCAGCAGAAGGCATCACGCGGTGCCGAAGCAGGGCAGGTTCTCGGGTCCGCTCTCTCCCCAGCAGCAGCAGCACATGCCGATGCAGCACCATCTGAAGGTGTACCCGGGCGACATTATCCGGATCTCGAGAATGGGCTCGTTCGAGGCCTCGAACCATCACAGCAGGCACGATTCTTACGGCAGCGTGGAGTCCGAGGAGAAATTCTACGAGGATGAGTCGCCCGTCAGCACTCTGGAGCGCTTGCCCAGTCCGGTGGGCGGACTGCACGACGATCATTCGAGCCACCACGAGTACCCCGGCGACACGCCGCGCCGAGGGTCGGCGGCGCGCCCCAACTCCTCGGCCTCGGCCTCGCCCCTCACGGACACGCGAATCTCTCTGGACTCGTCGGCCTGCTCGTCGTCGCGCGCGACAGCCAGCGGCGCCACGCTCCGATGCCTGCCGAGCTTCCATTCCGCGTCGCTGCACTCGTCGGCCCCTGCCGCGAGCACCAGCTCGTCGTCCAATTTCATGGCCAGCTGCCTCGTCGCGCTCGAGGTGGTTCTGCGCAGCGATCGCGAGGACGAGGACGAGGACGAGGAGCAGGAGCGTGAATTGGAAGACGACGCGGACGACGCGACCTCGGATCGGCACGACGACAGCTTCGTGTCGCTGGAATCGGGCGAGCACCCCGACCATCTGCGCGGCGCCAGGTTCGCGCGGTCCCCCGTCAGGGCGCAAAGCCACGGGCACGACTCGGAGCTGCGCCGCCGCGAAACCAGCCATCGATGGTCGGGCTCGCGCTCGCAGCTCGAGCCCGAGTACCACACGATGGATTTCTACAGCGAGAACGGCGACGATCGGTACAAGCTGAGCTCTGCGTCGTCGCGCAGCTTCTCCGTCGGGAGGACAAGCACCGACGCGACGAGTTCGCCGCAGAGCCTCGTGTCCACGCTGAGCCAACTGTCGCGGCCGAGGGGTCGGCGCCATCGCTCGAGCGACCCGCGCCGCAGCCTGGACGAGTACTCGTGGAAGGACCGCCGGTTCCTGCAGGACCATCCGAGCTCGTGGGTGGAGGAGGACGAGGACGAGGAGCAGGGCGGCGGCTTCCGCAGCAGCAACGTGAGCAGCGACTGCAACATGAGCTTGGCCGGCCGCCTCCAGGACGTGTTCTGGGACGATCAGCAGTCGGACATGAACTCCGAGCGCGCCGAGGAAGTGGTGCGCGGCGCTGTGGACGGGCTGCGGTTCACGTACTCGCCTGTGTCGTCGGCCTTCGTCTTCACGAGGCCGCCGAACTCGCAGTCGTCGCAGTTCGAGAATGGCGAGCTGCCAGAGAATCGCGTCATCTGCTACTCGCCGCCCAACACCGTGGACACGGAGATTTCGCAGCGCTTCTCCATCTCGCTCGACTACGCCACGTCCATCTGCAGCGAGGACTCGCTGCCCTACTCCATCGCCCGATCGTCCGACGTCACGGAGCTCGGAATCTCGCGCGCCGAATCGTGGAGCAAAATCGCTCGGGGCGCCTCGGCCGTCTCCCTCGCGCAGCACTATCATCGTGACTCTGCCTCGGGCCTGCTGGACCGCCGCGCCGGCTATGGTGTCGTCGTGGTTGAAGATTCCGGTGCGGCCTTCTACGACGCACCCGAGGCCGACCCCCTCGATGCCTCTCGACCGGAGCCCGTCGTTCGCAAGCGCCCCACCAAAAAATCAGGATTGGCCACTTGCCTGGTGAGTTGTCGTCGCAAAATGTGGCCCTGCACGTCTGGCTGAGACCGCCGTGCATTTGATTGCAGTCGACCTCGAGGCATGGTAGATGGACATTTGAGCTGATCGTCTGGGAATTTCGTTTGGGCTGATTGTGAATTTCCTCTGATCGACTGACTTGATTGGATTGTTGTTTCGTGGCAGCCTTTCCGATCCATTTTGAGGAACTTCAAGGCCTTCAGTCCCGGTCGGTCACGACTAGGGCCTCAATGCGAGTGCAACAAGCAACAATCGCCGATGAACTGGACCCCTGCCCAAACAGCAGTATCCCATTGAGGAGTAGTCGCTGTTGCTCAGTGTTATGTACAGTAAGGTGAGTGACAGTTTCTTGACGTGTTTTTCTTTTCTTTTGCCTTCGGTCGTGACAGATGTCGCCGGTGCATTCTCGATGACATTCTCTAATCTGTCTATGTTAACCGAGGATTGACTTGTTGTCTTGCTGGGTGGGCTGTTTGTGGCTTGACAGACCTTCGTCCTGCTAATCTGGAAAGGAGCTCGTTTTCACGTGTAGAAACTTAACATCACGGTTTTTCATACCATTTGGGCGTTGCGCCTCAAAATGCTTGCTTTCACGGATTTGCTTTGCGCCGTATCATCAACCATCCCCTGCCGATCTATCGCTGGAGGCTGCCACAGACATCACCAGGCCACCTACCTACTACTACTCTACTGCAACTACTACGCCAGTGGCTGGCTGTCTGCAAGCGGCCTTCCAAGATGCGTTGTTTGTCAAATCGTCACATCTTAAAGGGTTCATGGGTCCGTGGAAAATACAATTGTCTATCAGATAGCCGATCAGATCGATCCATGGGTTGATCGGGTCGAACGATTCGCCGGGACATCTTTCCAGAAGTTCGTAGAACGGAGAAACATTCAGTCAGTCACCTCCTTTAGTTCATGTGAAAATCTTGAGTACAAAGTCTCGAGATTAGCGAGACCTATTCTGGCACCCACTCACTTACTTTTGGCTGGCTTGAATCCATGCCATCCGTCTATTCCATCTCTTCCCGTCGACGTCATTACTAGCACCGTCGCTGCTGCCACTGCCGCTGCTGGAGTACAGTTTTGTATGTATCGTCTATGTAAGTAATATCTTCTAAGAAACACGATATGATATGTGAAGCAATCACTCTCTCTATCATCTCTCAAAAGTTGTCTGTTGCTCCGTCTGTCATTTCAACTCACCAAGAAGCACCCAGGTCACTGAGTGGTCCATTCGTCTACCTCAGAGTGCCCAAATACGTACCCGCCATTTGTCGATCATGTGCGTTGATAACTCTTTGAGCAAACGTGGCCCTGCAGCAGACGATTGGTCTGAAAATAACATCCCTGTACTCCAGCAGCCCCATGTGAGACACCGAACCTTGGGACCTATGAGCTGAGGGTGTAGGCACCGAGCTGGTCCAGGCCGAAGCCATGTAGGCCAGATCGCTGGAATACATGTGAGACCTGGAAGGGGATCTGAACGTGTGAAGTGAATCCTTCGGAAAGCACCACAAACTATACTGAAAAGGCTACCGCAGTCGGAAGCTGAGACAGTTAAAGGAATTATGCAGCAAGGATCTCGTGCTGCGGCTGACTAATATGACGTGTACATGTACCCACGTACTTCCAAGCTGAGATTTTTCTCCTCATCTATTTTGATATAGCGTGAACATATCTGCTAAACAGTGCCAACATCGTCATGCATTGAAAAGTGAACTGTGAACACAACCGCGACATCAATATCGCTCGAATTTCGTTCACAGTGGTGAGTTCACTGTGCCTGTAGATATTGATTTCTTGTCCGTGGACTATGAACCAGTATTATGGATGCCGAAGTGGGTCCGGACTCCATATAGCGCTCCCCACGTTTATGAACCGTAATGCCAGAGGCAGGAAGAAAAGCGCTCAATTGTTACGATGTCCCATTTCCGGACGAAATGATGTCAACGTGACGGCATCGGCAATCGTCCACTTGGACTTTTCGTACAATTTTTCGTGAGTACAGGCACCCTGTGTCCGCATCGTTTGTTTATTCAAACTTGATGAGTTGGACCGTCGTCTGGGAGAAACTACCACGTGTAGGCTTGATACCATACCTTCTCTTTCGATCAACACCATAAATGACCAAACGATAAGAAAGACTCGTTGTACTGATTCGCACGTGCTAATTCAAAGAAGCTCCTTGTAGTGCAATTTCAGTGGTTTGTAATTTGCATAATTCAATGGTCGAATCAATTTCAATAGTTTGCAAATTGCAAATCCGATTCTCATAGAACTCTGAGAAGTAGAGAGGGAGAGAGAAAGAAAGAGTCTCGGAGACCTAAAGCTTGGCTGATCTGTTGGTGGGTGGATCGTGACGGAGTTGGTGTGCACGCGGGAGATTTTGACATTTATCATATTAGATCCCGAAGAAAGAAGAGACGAGAGTAGATAGAGAGGGATGGAGGTAGAACAGGAGTACAGTACATCGGCTCTTACATCCCCACGCAAGACGGTGGGCATTGTTGCCGGTGATGAACCGTGTTAGAGGTGGGGGCACACTCCACTGTAGTGTCTACTTCTTCCTTCGTGCTCTCTCGGCCATGGCGGTCTCTACAACTTCCTAACTTCAGCTTAGTCCATGCAAAGACAGCCGAACAGAAATCAGTGTCACCAGCGTGATATTCTCGTCGAATCTGGCCTTCGCACACCATCATGACCCCTGCTCCTGCCGTGCCATGGCTTGCCATACTGAAAGAGCTGGCTTTCCGCTTACGTAGTTTCTGTTGCCCGGCACGTCTCCACATTCATTCTCAGAAGATTCGGGTGCCGATTCTGCCCATCCTGCAGGGCGTTAAATACGACTGCAACGAGCCGGGGTCCGGGGTAGTGAATTCCTCGCATGCCGTGCTGGGACGGAGAGCCAGATAGGAGAGGCTGCAAAGCCCATCTCTGTATTACGTATCGTCAACCCCCGAGCCCACTGTATGCATGTCCCAAATGAACAGAGCTGCGCTGTACTGAACCGAAGGTCAGCAGCACTGAGCGTCTACCACCAGATTCCACACTCCAGAGTCTAATCCTGTCCCACACCATGTGCTGAAGGGAAATTAAGGCGCCAGACTTCTAGGGACAGCGTAATGACGGTGTAACGCCGCAAAGTGGAGAAGGATTTCCTTTGCACCAGCAGCCGCAGGAGTTCCCATGGCCTGGCCCCATCCCATCCGATTACTATTATTGTGGTCCCACATGAGCCGAGCCGAGCTGTACGTAGTCCTTCTGACAATCGGGGGTGGACATTCACGACTCTGTCTGCCGGAGCATCGAACGACAGAGCGGTGCACCTCGAGAGAGCTCTGCAGGTGCAGAGCGGAGCTTGATTTGTAGGAAGACATGCTCGGTCTGCAAGGGAGCAGATGAAGGTTACCCCATCCCCACGCAACCACATCCAGTTTGCCAGTGGAGATGACAGCAGGGACCACTCTCATAGCCATGGTTGATAAATAGCATGGGCGGATGAATTTATGTGACGAGGCTTCCCTCCTTGGATAGGTGACTAGAAATGCCAATGTGTATTAACTAAGCTGTGTTTCAGCTACTCCACTTGATATAGCAACGTCTACGTCTATAGTTCTTCATTGGGCATTAGCTCGTGTTACACGTTCATGTTTAAACAAATATTAGGTGATAATGAGTAGCATGCTATGGTATTCTTAAATTGTGTTCATTCAACTAAATAGAATTTTTTAGATTCAATATACATATCATTGTGAAGCTATTGACGCTAGCTCTTTATCATTGAGTTCCATCCCTACACAGCTTTTTGCTGTATTAGTTGGCGTCCGCTTATGCTTCTACTGAAAATGTTATTAATTTGGACCTCTGTCCAGCCATGCTAATGATGGCGAGAAGACGGGAAAGCAAGAAGTTGACGGAAACGAGTTGTGTAGGGTCTTGGTAGACTGCATAAAGAGAAAAGAAAGTTTGAACTAAAGTACAAAAATTTACTCGATATGATATAGGTAGCACCCTTTCTAGACCCGGGAGATGCGAGATAGATAATCGCATGATTGAGAGGTCTAATTTCACTGCAAACTCAGATAAAGACCAATTTGTATACATCTGCCGAAAAGGAGAAATGGTGCTGAATCAGATTCTCAATTAACGACAGAGAATCATGATGAAGTCTCGTGGAGAAATTCTTTTGTCTCGGTTTCTCATTCCACTAGCACGAGACTTTTTATGACGTTCCTTTTTCAGCGTGCGCAAGGCCACAGATCAAATGATTACATGGAAAAGCCTCCATCATTCCACTGGAATTGTTCACCAGAAGCGAATTCGAAAACAAACCAGCGTCCTTTATGTTAACTTCTGGATCAAAAGACTTCATGTATCAAAGTCAACATTCACAGTCTATACGCATACATTCAGATTTCACTGCTGCATCTGTCCGTGAATTTTATGACTCGTCGAAGAATGAACTTTCTCACCTCCGTTCGAGCGGTAAGAATCCTTGGATATTATGAAAATTGGCATTTGCTGGCAAGGAGACTCACCGATGACTCACTCATTCCGGCAACTTGGAGTTCCCCACTATGGATCAAAGGAAAGCTGCAGCTGTGACGGAGGCTACGTGGAGAGATGTCTTTAAACATGTGACAAGCTTTGTTAATATGCTTGATATGATGACCTGATGATGACACTGCGCACAAAGTGTTAACTTTTGGATCGAAGCAAAAGTAGTCTTATCTGCACGAGAGTTTTTTCTTTCAGTATCATTGGCATCGTTCTTTCATGTCAGGTTTTTAACTAAGTGTTACTGGGCTCCGCCATGATTGCGACTTTCAACTTCCCCTTTGGTATCTAGGACTTCAACCAAGTCGCATGCAATGTATAAAATGTATACATGAAAGAAATTCTGAGATTTTTCCCTGCTGAGTGTTGTGTTCTTCGGGAGTCCTGACCCAAGAACAGTTCGTCTATGTTGCATGTTCTCAAGGACCGAGGAATGTTTAGTCTATATCATATGTCGCCACATGTCAACAACATGAAGAAGGTTTCTTTCTTAAGGTTTAGGTTTACAATTTAGAAATGGATATGCTCTAGACTGACTAGCAGTTAAATGCTCCGAAAAAGGAAGACTCAACGACCCCAGACGCCAGAGTCGAATTCCATGATCATTCCATTGACAACTGAAAGCTGAACAAAACCTTGGAACAAGAACTGGTAAAACTGAAAAGTCATTAAACATGATATGAACTTGGTATGGCTAAGTTCAAGACTTCGTGTGAGAAGATGCCTTATTATCAATTTCTTATCTACAATCCATTCCTTGTAATGAAAATTTCGATCTCACTAAATATTTATTTAAAAACATATGTTCAATTCCTTCTTTGCAACAAAAATCTAATATCAATTTACAAACCATCAATTGATTAATTCATATTATATAAATTTTTATCTGCCATGGATCTGTAATATTCAATGTTTGAAAAGTGACATGAACACAAATAGAGATATGCTACATTTTGCACAATGACAATCTTTTAAAGTCAAGTATATAGAAGCCAATACTTTCCGCATTCATTATAAAATCCATATGATAATCCATTGTGCAATTATCATAAATATATGTATTGAAAACATTAAATCTGCAGATCCATTACTCAAGAATATGGATGAAATCTTTATACTGTGAACGAAAGCTATACTTCTACTTATTGTAGCAGACTTTTATAGAAAAGTTCATGCTGCAAATTTTTTTTTCGTTTACATTTTGACAAATAATCTGATGCTTTCAAATCTGCACACATATGAAAAATAATAATCTAATATGCATGCTAGACAGTTTTAGTTAGATTAAATTGAATACATCAGTCCTTCTCTTTTTTCCATACTAAACAAAATACAAATTTATTGTCATCAATAATATGCCATTAATTTCTAAAGATGTAAATTGAACTTGATTATCATTTTTGACTTAATTTATTAGCATTTAAGATGTTTTTCAATGATTCTAGTATGACACATGAGAACCTCATAGTCCAAGCTTTTGTGTAAGTTTTATCAATTGAATCCAAATTTTAATATCAAAGAAAAAATACTAAAATAGAAATATACTTGAATTTAAATTTAAAAATTAAATTTAAATTAAAAAAATTTACAAGTAAATTTGTATATTTTTATTTTATTAACTCTATATAAAGTGTGATGAGGTGAAAAAAAATCCCTCCTGCAGGTAGTAATTTCAAAACTACTAAGAATATATTCCTTGTCATTATTTGTATGTAATATGTCTTGATATCTTCAATCTTGATTTCAATTTGGGATTTTCAATTTTCAAAAGTGATTAAGATCTTTTATATGAAAATATTAATATACATAAATCTTGGATAATCATAAATAAAATATACATTACACAAAATACTAGAGAGTGAGGAATTTTACCATGAATTTTATATGTCCTTACCAACATCCTCATATCACAAAGAAGTGATATGTAATCATTTTATATGAGTCTTAATATTTGAATTCATAATATTTTCAATCTAACAAGATTTATCATTTTTCTTTAAATTAAGAAAAAAACAAGAATAAAACACTCCAATGTAATCAATATGATAAAAATAAGCATTACCTAGAATCCATACATCATCAACATTACTTGATCGATTGCATAATATATATTTGGCTTATCATGATACATCTTTGATGAAGTTATTGTACTCAAAATCAAACTCTTGAATCACATTGCTTAAAGAAGTTTTAGCAGTACTTATCTTCAAAGTGCTATTTTTTTGACGTGAACACTCTTGTCATATTTATAATAGATTTTTGTCTTATTTTCTAGAATCAATTTAATTTACTTTATTCTAAAAATTCCAATCCATCGGATGATGATGAAAGCGAAAAATTCTATCCGTTAGATGATGATGGAGGGGAGAAACTCTAATCTTCAAGTTGATTGCAGTGAAAAATATTAATTTGCCATCAAACCTTTTCGCGTGTCAAAATTTCAACCCTTACTATCAATGACTATTCAAAAGTACAATATGCAAAAAGTTATTGGTCTAACACATATATTAGTGTAATGCTTAACTTCAGGTCTTGCTTTGACCAAATTTAAAGGCGACAAGAGAAGATTGTTGATGTAAGGACGGTAAAGAAGTTGCAAAGGGAACTAGAATTGATTAAAACGAGAAAAAAGGCAAAAAATACAGATGCACAATTAGCAAAAGACATTTGAGTAAATCAATATTTTTTGAGAGTTTTTTTAAAATATCTAATTTTATCAAATGACATAAATAATTACCTCAAAATGTTTGAAAAAACTACCACTACTTCTTGAATCATTCTATTATTTGTACAACATTCTTGCAAATTTGGAACATAGTGTAACCATCTTTAGTTAGTTAGAACTAAAGTAGAGGTTACTCAAGATTGAATAGAGTAGATAATAATGAAATATTTACAGTGCCACGTCAGCAATCCGTGTGCTAGTTAGTGTGTTAGTTGGATACAACACGTCATCAATCCGTGTGCTTGTTAAATAAAGATTGAGTGTACTAGTTGGTAAGTTAGTTGGTAGCGACACGTCATCAATCCGTGTGCTTGTTAAATAAGTATTGACTGTGCTAGTTGGTAGCGACACATCAACAATCCGTGCGTTCTTTAGGTGTATCCGCCATGTCATCAATCCACTAGGAGTGAATTGGATGGTGGGGATGATAAATTATCTTCTTGTACGTATTGTTAAGAGTTATATAAGGGAGAGTATATATATTTTTGGTATCTCTCATTTTCAGAGTTTATGTTTCCATCTTTGAGTGAGTTTTTTTTTTAAAACCTAATGTTACACCTGGTAGTCGAGTCTCATCTCCAAATCATGGAGTTGGTTATCTTGCTACTGCAAAACCTTCTTACGTCAAAGATTTTCCAACTCCATCGGTGTATGACTAGATGGATCTCAAAAATTGCATGCAAGTTCATCGTGTGTGACATCATAAGCACCCAAAATTTGTTGAGCAATTGCTTCATTCATTTTAGATGGATTACTTACAATCACCTATTTTTGAATTTGATTTTTCAAGCCTTGTTTGAACACGTTCAAGGTTTCTGTTCCACTTAAATTTATGATAAATACTTGAAAATCACAAAATTCTTTAATGTACTCATAGATAGCTTTCTTTTGCTTCAAATTTCACAATCTCATTCTTGAAGTTTGAAGAGAGTCCATCGCTTGAATTTTTTTAAAAGAATACTTCTTGCATTGCATTCCACAAACTGATAGCATCTCGTTTTGAAAACATTCACTTCCATGTTTTGTACCATGTGAGAGTCTTATCCATAAAATAATATCTTATGAACATTTTTGCAATTTAATTAGAGACATGAATATGAGATAAATGAATATTCATCCTAAAAAATTCATATCATTTTACTCCCTTTGTAAGCTTACACCTCACTTAAATTCTCCATACGAATCAAAAGATATGCTTGATCATCAATATCTTGAAGACGTCTCTTATTTACCTCTACTGCATCAATAGGAGTTGGATCTGGTTGAAATTGAGAAGCTTGAACTTGAGGTTCAAC